GTGAACGTCAGCTGAGGTAAGGAGAGTTGGAGCTCCTCCATGTAGGCGAAGGAAAGGGGAGCAATCGGCGATGCACGTGGCAATGTGGCAGTTCCCGTGCAACGTTTCCGCATGTTCACGGAGGATCCTCGTAATGTCAATGCTGAGTGTGGGATCTTTTGTGTTCCCCGACGGCTCCGGAGAGCATCCTTAGTGTTCGCTACCGTCACGAGGCCGAAAAACATGGAGGCATCGGTAAGGTTACCCTCCCTGCCCAGTGTGAGGCTACGCAAGGTATGTCAGACCGGTGCCGGGCACCGCCACCGTCTGGGGTAAGTCTGTAGGCTAGTCTGTAAACCCCCCCAATAAGTGTGTGACGTGTAGGCAGTGTTGCCGGCATACAGCTAACAACCTACGTACCGCCGCCGGTATCGCAGGGCCGGGGTGGACACAATTCCGAATATTTTTTTTTAACTCGTCGCCACATGTAATTCGTATTGGAGACGCTGGTGGACACAATTCATAATTTAAGCGTCCACATTATGTCGTATTGGACGCGCTGGGTGGACACAATTCATATTTAACGTCACATTAATATTGGGAGTTAATTTCGCTCCGTCCTAAAAAACCCGTCTTAGGCGCAATGAGAGCCGTGGATTTTAAGGACGGACCTGATGGATTTGCTCACGTTCCGTCCAGAATTCCGTATTGGAGCGCCGGGGGGGGGTGGGGGGGGGGGGGGTGGACACAATTCATATTTAAACGTTCCACATTAATTCGTATTGGACGGCCTGGCTGAGCACAATCCATATTTAACGTCCCCATTAATTTCGGCTCCGTCCCTATAAATCGCGTCTTAGCCAATGAGAGCGCGTGAATTTTAGAGCGAACATTGATTTCTTACGTCCGTCCAGAATTCCATCGCTTCCGTCCTAAATCCACGCTCTCATTGGCTAAGACGGATTTTAGGAGGAAGCGCATTAATTGTGGACGTTAAATATGAATTGTGTCCACCCAGGCGTCCACAATACGATTAATGTGGACGTTACTATGAATTGTGTCCACCCAGGCGTCCAATACGAATTAATGTGGACGTTTAAATTAGATTGTGTCCACCCCGGGCTGCGATACGGGTAGGCGAGTATGGCATAATATAATATGCGCGACCGTGCTATTCCCAGGTTGGCATTCTGTAGACGAATCCGTACAGGTGCACACTGGGTACGCTTCCTCGTCGCGCGTTACGAGTGCAATCAGGTACGCGAGCACGGACGGATTCACGACCCCGCCCGTCAGCGGCGTTAGCCCGCGCCGCTGGGGGATGGGCCGGCGGATCGGCGATTGACTATGCTGGTCGCATGGCGCCCCGAGCCGGTGAGGGCAAAGGCAAACGCAAACCAATCGACGCGCTGTTACGATATCGACGTATGGCTAGACGGAATACAGCGGCTGGTACAGTAGTCAGTCGTAGGCGCAGAGCGTAGGGGCGGAGGCAAACGCGGGTGGGAGAATGGGGCGTGCTTAAAGCGCTCTTACTCCCACTGTGGGAAAGCTAGTGGGCAAGGTGAATGAATACGGGCATAGCTTGTCTCCGTTGTTTTTTTCGCGGAGTAGTGTAGGGCATACATCTCGCTATTTTGCATATTATTGTGGGCGCCCGGTTCTGCATATCTCTCGACCCCTCCATACAGCTTTCACGCGCAATAACGTCGTTGTGTGCAGTAACGTAATCCGTATTACTTTTCCTTGCTCAAAGGTAAAAAGCAAGAAAGCACTACCATGGGAGCTCATCCCGATGGCCTGGGATTTGGCGCGTAGTAGCTGGTGTAATGTTATCTGCTCATTTTCGCATGCCAGCGGTACCGTATGCATGGAGTTTGAGCACGTTATGTAAACTGTGTAACAGGTGATTTCTCATTTCGCATCGTGCGGGGGCCGTGGCTGGTAGCAGCTTACTCGGCTAGGCGCACGAAAATAGCCGGATGGGATCACCGAATGCCGCGAGCTCGCGGGGTTGGACATGTGGTGATTGCTTGTCAGTAGGTAAGTATGCTGCATGATGGCTGTATAACATATACCCTCACCTTCCAGTGAATGCTCTATTTCCAGCCATCAACTGAAGTGAACTCACACTCAGGGTGACCAGCTGGCGATAAGCACGCGCACTAACGTTTGAACCCAAGGACATGGAAGCAGGGCGAAGTCACCGCTCGCCGAGGAGGCCGGGACACGGAAATCCTTGACGCTCGGCAGGCGCGCTGCGTCGCCAGGACATAGAAGCAGGCCGACTTCACCGCTCGCCGACGCAGCCGGCCGAGATCCTTGACCTCGGCGGAATCTCGCGTCGCCGGGACATGGAATCACTTGGCTCGCAGATCCCGAGGGCCCGGGACACGGAAAAGCAGCAGTGTAGGATATCCCGCGTTGTGAGTGCGGTTTGAGAACAACGCGTCAGCGTCCCGCTGATAGAGTTTGCTCTCCTGTTTTACTCTCGCGAGGTGCGCGGCAAACGCAGCAGGAATCTCTGCGACAACGCTCTGACGGCGCTGGTCGTACGAAGTGCGTGGACGGTCTGGCAGATAGTGAGCGGGGTTATGGCGACCGCATTACTCTGAGGAGATGCTACTGATCGCACACCGGCAGGGTAAGACTAGAGGCAATGCGTAGAGATGGTCCGCCAGATAGATCTCTAGCACGCCCGGTCGTATCGCGGTAGCCTCGGTTTACGGGCGCAGGCCCGCATAGGAACACCCGGTGAGTACGCAAATCGGCTACTGATGTGGCTGCCGGCGAATGTTCTTAGCGGCACCGTTGGTCGATCTCGCGGGCGAGACAGCCGCGCCCCCCCCCCCCCCCCCCCCCCCCCCCCCCCCCCCCCCGCCCCCCCCCCCCGACCCCGCGCGCCGAAAGGCGGAGGGGGTAGTGTAAACGAATTTCGGTCTGCGCAGCATCACATCCCCGCGTTCTACCCGCAGTCTGCCCAGCGTCCTTGGGTGATGTGGGCTTTGATGTAGGCCGAATCCCCGCATGCTGTGGCAATGTACACGTGCTTGACACGAGCTAGTACTGTGCCGTACTCCTGACGCTGAAGCTGGCGTGCGTGTCACGTGTGAAGCTGGCGTGCGTGTCACGTGTGAAGCTAGCGTGCGTTCCATGTCTGAAGCTGGCGTGCGTGTCACGTCCGAAGCCAACGTGCATGTCACGTGTGAAGCTGTCGGGCGTGGCTACCTGTTTCTGACGCATGATTGACGTGTGTTGAAGCCGTGTACACGCTCCGGGACGCATATATACTGCGCTCTCTGGAGCATCGGCAGTTCAGTTCAGCTCAGTTCGGTTGGGTTCAGGTCAGTTCACCGGCAGGCTGCCGGTGAGGCAGTCAGCAGCATTCAGGAACGGGTCAGTCGGAGAGGAGGCACACAACGCAAGGTACAGCACTGAAGCAATCACCAGCGATCTCTGCACGGACTGTGCCGCTTTCTACAGAGGATCGTTTTTGGTAAGGCCTAGTGCCTAGTTTGTATCTTGTAGCTATACTCGGCCTTACGCGTGCGAGGAATATTGTACCGTTTTATGCCGCACTCTGGTCTGTTGACCAGGGCGGAATAAAGCCCGGACCTATCCCGGCGTAAACACGTCATATTTGAGTTGTGTTGTTTGTTTCTTGTGCGACGTGTACAATCCAGTGGTCGAAACAGTGGGAGAGTCCGCTGACGGGAAAAACGTTACATATATAATATCATATATATATATATATATAAATAAGTATAATATATATTATATGAATAATATATATCTATATATGATTATATGAATACTACATATACTATATATATATAGTATAGTATCATATAATCATATATAGATATATATATTCATATATATATATATCACTATTTATATATATTATATATATATATAATCTATATATATAATATCTATCACTATGAATGTAGGTATGTAACCTTTGAACTCAAATAAAGGTTGTTTTCGTCATTGAAATTAAAAAAAAAAAAAAAAATATATATATATATATATATATTCATATAGTATACTGATGCCTACATCATGTACGTCATATACCTAGGAAAAGTAGATATACAAGTCACTTTCACATATGTGAGGTCTCTATGGTTTACTAGCGTCCATAGTCTGTTATGATGCACAATTAAAACAACAAGCAAACCAATTTCTAATTCGATAGCGTTCCTTTTCGTTTTCAATCATCAACTAGATATCTAATTATAATACAGCGGATAATTCAGATACCATAATGATCAAATCACCAACTCGAGTTATCCTTTTTATTAAGTACACGCAATAAATAATACGTTTGCGCAATATATTGATATGGCAATTTTGTTACTTTACATAACAGAGGACAACAACACATACGTTGGGGCTGCTTGCAGCACACTCGCGAACGTCGTAGCGAAGAAATTGTGCATATAAACAATATATACAAATAATGTGCGAAACGCTGCTATATCTCAGCACAGAACGATTGCACGGACTTGCTGTAATGACGTCGTAATTTAGTCCGGGCTAACTTCGTCTGCTTTGAAGCAAGCGCGCGTCCGTGATTTTAGCATCACGCATTACCTGCGTGGTTACCTCGGTTGGTTGGTCTTCCTGGTTCCTATTCCTGATTGGTCGGTTAACCCTATGGCAGTGGGACAAATAGGTCAGGGCAATTTCCTGACCACATTCCTAGACGCTATACGGTCTACTCACTTCATACATGTTTGAGTCTATGAGAGGCAAAACGACCTTCGCGTCCCTTCAACCGGGACGTGGTTTATATTTAAATGTGAGAAGTGGCTCCATGGAGCGGCTCTATAAGTACAGGCCCGCGCACTGCCCCGTGTAGATTTTGTCCCTACGAGTCTGTCGTTCGATGCTAGGAAGCACTATGTAAAGTTAACTATGAACGGAAGCCGTTGCCAGAAATATCATGAAGTTAAATTGTTTATGTCATTATTTTAATATGATATTATTATAAGTTATGATATTTTGTACATTTGAATCTTTGATTGTCATAACTACTTGTGATATTTCTGACCACAGTCCCCTGGTCAGTAGCTATGTAGATACCGGAGTTACTGTAATGTAGATCGCAATATCCCCCATATCAATGCGCGCTTCCGGGGCCTACCGGGTTATCATTTCGCCTCGCCATGGTCCAGCATCTTTCACTCACTTGAGCGCCGTTGCGCTCGTTTACACACACGCACGCACACGCACATTCACACACTCACGCGCACGCCAAACACGATATATATATATATATCTTATCTAAATAAATTGTTTTAGTATAGTGCTTGTTAATGCTCGGTGTCTACAGCCTTGGCATCCAATGGGACCGGTCTCAGCGTCTACATGTAAGTTCCTAGTTCGTCGTGACCGCTGTATGACGGATTGACGATTGCATCGGGCGGAAGGTTCTTGAACGGTATGTCGTCGTGTCCGTGAAAACCCCTGCGCAGAGATGAGAGTGGATTGCTCGAGTTATTAATTAGTCATCAGTCGGGCTTCTTGAACCGCACACCCGTCTTGCTTTTCTTACCGGTGGGATTTATTCGGTAGCAACAAAATTTGCATTTGGCGTGCTCACGTCTAGCTCTACCCGTGTAGCCGTTCGCTCCCGCTACAGGTATATAGCGTACTAGCGGGATACCCGGCGTTGCCCGGGGAAATCAGTGGCGTTACTCAGTTGGTGACCGCTTGGTTAATAATACATACTAAAGAGATAGGTAAAGGGGAAAAAATTTAAAAATTGGGAAATAAGTTCCCCAGCTGGGACTCGAAACCGGAATCCCGTTGTAGGAGACGGATGTTCTAGCGACTAGGCCACTGCGCTGTTAAGAGTATACCCTATGGATTCACACGTACGTGATGTTAATCTGTACGCACCGCCATCTATTGATGAATCGAATTTTATCAATTTTTAACTTTTTAACTTTTTTCAATTTTTGTTTTAGCCAGAACCACCTCCCAGACGTGCTCATTCTGAAAATATCTTTAGTTTTCCTCTAGGCTGCGGAGTTCTCTAGTTATGCGAGTACGAACTAATTCGGCTGAACTTTATATATATACCTAGCGGGATTAACCGCGGCGTTGCAACACGCGACGAGACACACTCCAGCATCCACGCTTCACTCACACAGCTGGTGCCGCTTGGATTTGGAAAAAGAAAAATACCCGCAAAAATCTAACTAAATCTATCTATCCATGCATCATCCATCATCCAGTCCATGGCCATCGCATTCCCATCCCATTGCCGCTCTCATGCCCATCCCGATCCACATTGCATCCCATGCCATGTCATCATCCCTGCACCAGCCAGATCAAATCCCATCCCATCGCCCGCATTCATCCCATCCATCCCATCCCATCCCAAAACAGTAAAAAAAATATAAGAAATCAAAGATAAAAGACATCTAAAAATAATTACTACAAATGAAAAAATAGTTTAATTAAAGAAATTAATAAAGTTAAATTAAAAATAATACATACTTAAAGAGGAGGTAAAACGGAAAAAAATGGGCAATAATATATTCCCCAGCTGGGACTTCGAACTCGAAATATATAATAAAGCAGACGAATAGATATAGCCCTCTGGCAAATAATAATTTATACACCATGGATTAAACGTGATTTGACCTGTACCGTAGTGACCGGCAACATTCTATTTGATAATAGAATTTTTATGAATGTTACTTGTAAATTTGTAAAAATTTTTGTTTCAACCGAACTCGCAGACGTGCTGATTCTGAATATCCTTATTTTTCTCTAGGCTGCGGGTTATCTATTATGCGGGGGGTACGGACTAAATTTTAGCTGAACACGTTTTATATATAGCTAGCGAAAGTCAAATACCCGTAGAACCAGCAAATTTGGTCTTAAATATAAACTCCATGTAAGTGGACACAGATAAGTTAAATATTTCATGTAACTGAAAAGAAACCACTGCGCTGGGTCACAGAACACAGCACAGCTACTGGCCACTGACTACTTCGTGGGCAGTAGTGTACGTCAACAGAGTGAGGCAGGGGGGAAATCCTGCAAGTAGCGGGGGGGGGATCTGAGACGTCACGCATCTATTGAGAAATAGAATTTTTGGTTTTGAGCCAGAACCGTTATCTCCCAGACATGGTGATTCTGATATGGCTCATACGGCGGCAGTCAAAGACGCAGTGTAATTCCCGACGTATGGTGATGTGGATCTGCTGTAACGCACAGCCATCGTATTGACGAATAAGCATTTATTTTCTAATTTTGAACTTAAACACTTGAATTACTTAAACTTTTTTTTAATTTTTTTCCACCAGAACCATCTCCCAGACGTGGTGATTCTGAATATAGTCTTCATTAGCGCGATTGATGACAACTCAGGGGCGAAAAGGAATATCACAATACAATACACATCACAGCAGCACACACACAGACACACCCACACACAAGATTAGCCAAATCTGATAGTATAGGATAGACTAGCGGGATACCCGGCGTTGCCCGGGGAAATCAGTGGCGTTACTCAGTTGGTGACCGCTTGCCATATGGTTGAAAGGAAAATACTCAAAAAAATCTAACTATCTATCTATCCATGCATCTATCCATGCATGCATGCATCCATCCCTTCCATGCCATCCCATCCCATCCCATCCCATCGCACCGCATCCCATCCCATTCCCATATCCCATCCCATCTCATGCCAGCCCATAACATGCAATGCCATGCAATGCCATGCCATGCCATCCCATCGCACCGCATCCCATCGCACCGCATCCCATCCTATCCCATTCCATCCCATCTCATCCCATCTATATATATAGATAGTGCCTGCGGAGGAACTGAAGAACTACACGGGTAGAGCTAGGTCATCTCCCATATTTTCGTCAGCACATCATACCTGAAAATTTCCCATATGTGTAGTGGTGTCTCATTTCATGCTACCAGGCCATGTATGTAGGGTTAGGAGCGGCAACGTTTTTTTGCTATATTATTTCGGTGCTCTGATTGCTAGTGCACGTGTGAGACGGAGAGCGACTGCTAAGGCTTCAGGGACGTAGGCCTAAACCCGTGTTTATTGAACACATGGTTTCGGCGGACACGGTCATAGACAAGTAAGATAAGACAGGATGAGTGCACTGAATGCAAGTATTCTGCGCCCGAGAAGTTTTAATAGTAGCACTTACCATTCCCTTGTTCGGAATCTAAAAACTCCGCAAATAGTGAGTAAATATCGGCGGGACGCGTCCACCACTCCCTAAACCCGCATAACTGCCTATACCCGACTGTAGATAATATATATATATATCAGGAGTAGATAAAGGGAACCCTTTATCTACTCCTGATATATATAGCCTAAATATAGGCGCGGGCGTACGTGATTTCAACTGCTGTTACCTGATAATGTCTCCTTTGTAGTCCATCGTCGCAGCTTCCACCTCATCTGCGTGATCTAGGGAGTCTCTCACCACGTGGGCGACAACGCCTGAGCCTACCGCGTCACCCCACACGTTGACAGCTGTGCGGAACCGGTCTCTGTGTGTAAGTACACACACGTAAACCCGTCAGATGTACGGCCATGCGACATACGTTTGAGATATGTTTAAATGATATGTTATATGTTATATATGTTATAATTTAAATGATTACTCCACTCAGCAAGTCGAAAAATAAAACATCAAATATAGCTAATTTAATAGTTTAATTAATTAATAT